ATTATCTCATTGTATTCATGGTGCCGCCATTGAAATCTCACGGCCAGGTGCTCCGCGGTGCCTTCCCTAGCACAGAGGGAGAAAAAAATGGAAAAGATGGAGAGCGTTCATGAAGTGCGGGAGAAGAAAGAAAGGTATTTAGGGTCCTAGACACCGAAGAAATAGCTTAATAGGACTACCTTTTGATATTGCGATAGATTTATAACTTCGAATCTTGCAGAAATTTCAACCAATGGCTATAGCCCATTTTAAATGAAATAATAAACAAAAAAGACAAGCATATAAACAATCAAAAATCTAGAAAAAACTGATCTAAAATATAATTTTGATGCACTAGAACTGAGTATAAGTGCTATGTAATTAAGTGCAAGTGCACTATAACTGAGTGTAAGTGCTATGTAATCGAGTGTAACTGCAAGTTGGATATACAAGAACAGAAATCTTAATGCAAGATCTTGCGGACGAAAAAATAAAGATAGAAGCCCAAAAATCTGACGCGTGTGAAATAGCAAAACCATAACTTCTTAGGGGTAAGGTGTGAACACCTTCCATACAAACTGAAAGAAAAACTTTTGTTAACAATATTTCAAATAGGAATTCCATATTTACTTCTTGACTTGAGGCAAGGTGCATCTGCGGTTGCATGACGATGTGCATTGGTAGGTAAACAAGTAGTACTAACAACTAAGCGGTGATGCATGCATTTTCGAGCTCACGTAACACATGTCTTTTCTTTACTTTCACTGTTGCACCTTACCACATACATCCTACTCCTATGAGCACATCCGAAAGATTGAGCCAACATATTTTGATATTGATGAAGTAACCATGGGCGCCTCGCTGTTGACGAGCACCTACCACTAAAACAATAATTAATCGTAAATATGAGCATCCGTGCCAAATATAGAATTTGAACCTGGTTGTGCTGGTTCTACCACAAGAGACGTAGCTCGTAACCAGTTAAGCTACTGTTAATGTGAAAAACACACACTGGCCTGAGAGATTTGCTTTAGTCTAGTGCATGTCCTAAAATCTTGCTTTTGGGTTCGGGGCATGCCAGTTGGTTTGATCCTGCAACCAACAAGAAACAACGAAAACAAAGTTAAATCTATAAACGATAGCCGATCGGCTGGATTGCCGATGACGTATCGTTCGTATCAAGCCGATGCGATATGGATCAGATCAACTATGAAGTGTATAGCAAAGGAGTTAAATTTTACTCTATCGGCTGTAGATATCAATAATATACATAATCCATGCTTCAAAAATATGCTTAAACCAAGTGATTGGGATAGATCGGACAATATGCCAAGACAGTATAAACCACTTATGTCGAAAAGTATTTTAAAGCAAAGATTATATATATATTCATAACATAGCCGATAGGCAAAACACACCAGTGACCCAAGTTAATTCGTGGGGTTTTTTAAACACACGAAATACGTGCAGGATCATCATTAGAACCATCATACTTGATCTAACGTGTACATGCTAGTACTCGGTACTACTTTATACTAAGATACTAGTATGGATTAAATATACTAAATAAGAATCGAATCAATGTCAGTATACCCTAACAGACCGATAGTGAGCTTAACGTATTTCAACCAAACGAGATCTTAATATAAAGGGCAGATTCAGTATACCAAGTAAACATATAAGAAAACAAGATAACTGAACCAGGTAAGATCAGCTGAAACCCCGATACTATCCCTGTTTTTTGACTTTAAACAATAGGAGAGGCTCCTACTGTGGTAATTATATTAATATATGAACATGAGTTACATCAAAATTACAAAATATGTACTAAAGAGGAAAAAAATAAAATAAGTTGTCAATCCATGATTGATATTTAGGCATGTCTTCCTCCTTCACTCTATGCAAAAGAAGAGTGAAATCCTCCTTGAAATCAGCTTTCCAAATATTGAAAGATGGTTGGACATTGTCAAAAATGAGAGCATTTCTTTTCAACCAAATTTGCCAGCATGCTGTACCCACCACTTCCACAAAGAAGTTTTGACCAAAATTTCTGAATGCAGTTTGAATCATGTCAAAGAGATCAAGATTCACATCCAAATAGATTGCAAGAGAATTCCAGCAGTTTTGGGCAAATGGGCACGTGAAAAAAAGATGAGACATATCCTCCAAAATATCTAAGCTGCAGATTTGGCAAGAGGGTCCATCCTGAATAGAGAGGTGTCTTCTTTGTAGCATGTCTCGTTTAATCTATCCATAAACAGGAGCCAGAGGAATGCCTTCACTTTCACAAAAGAGAAAATGGTGGAAAAGGAGTTTTGAAGTAAAGTGTCTGACCAGAGATCTTTCTAGAAAAGAGCTATGTCCCCTGTGTTGATCTGAATAGAGCTGAAACCTCTAAAGTGAGGTATTAGTTGAGTGATGTCTTTCCACCAAAAGGATCCAAAGTCTGGTAATGCATGCGGTGGCATGGATCTATTATTATAAAATGATGTCCAAAGAAGTTTTACCCATGGGAGATTTTTCTTGTTGAAAAATTTGTCGAGATGATTCATCAAAAGGGCATAGTTTTGGAATTCTAAATTAATGACACCCAGTCCCCCTCTTTTTTTTGGTCTACAAATCTTGTCCCATGCTGCCAAAAAGAATGAGCTTTTGCATCAATTTCGTGAGATTTTCTCCAAAGACAATGCCTTCTTGCTCTATCGATGTGCAACAAAATCTTTTTAGGGATTTTAAGTGTGCACATGTAATTTGTTGGCAGGGATGACATAACTGAGTTGACCATGGTTAGTCTCTGTCCTTGATTCTAAAACATTGTTATAGCCAGGAGTTTCTTTCCACTCTATCAATGAGAGGTGCAAAATCACAGATTTTGGGTTTTGTTGTTCCAACCGGTAGACCAAGGTACGTAAAGGGGAGAGATCCAATTGGGCATCCAAAAGTCTCTGCCAGGATTTCAATTCTATCCTGATTAACATTGATTGGGATCATAGAATATTTGTGAAAATTGATTTTTAACCCAGTGGACATGGCAAAAGATTGCAGGATGCCTTTTAGACAGAAAACTTCTCTTTGACACGCCTTCATAATGATAAGGGTGTCATCAGCATATTGGATTATAAGGAACTTGGTGTCAACTTGAGGAATAGGAAGGGAGAGGACTCCCAGGTTGAGAGCTTTGTTGATCATAGATTGAAGAAGATCAGCAGCAAGGACAAACAGAAGAGCAGAGATAGGGTCTCCCTGTTTTACACCTCTGAGACAATTGAAGTTTTTTTTCCTGGGACACCATTGTGTAAAATTGAGGAGGAGGCTGTAGTTAAAATATCTTTTACCCAATTGATCCATGTATTGTCAAAGCCCTTTGCCTTAAGAATTTCCAGGATACAAGCATGCTCTACAGTATCAAAAGCCTTTTCAAAATCAATTTTGAGAATGAGGATTTCTTTTTTGCTCTGATGACATTGGTGAAGGAATTCAAAAGTCCACACCAAACAGTCGTGAATTGTCCTTTGCTTTATGAAACCATATTGATTTTCATGAATAAGTTCAGTGATCACAGATTGAAGCAAGCTAGATATTATGGCTCTGGATATTGCTTAGTAGATCAAACACAATTGATGCAGCATTAAGCATAAAGAGAAACATAAGATCTAAAAAAGCCAATGGAAGCCTTTTCGGGATGGTGGATATGCTATATAATCTAATTTGACGATAATATCGGATCCTATCGGCTGTTTTTGATGATAGAGGCTAGCCGACGAGATCAGATAGTAAGGTCGATCTAGATTATATAGCATATATGATAACTCGACGATTTACATGGACAGGATTAGAGTGTCATAAAGATGTAAGCACTAATCCCGAGAATGCAAGCCGCCATAACAAGCTTTACCTCTTGTCGGAGATCGAAACTGATGCAGCCCAACTCGAAAGTAAGAACTCGTTGAAAACAATGAAAAGTAAAAAGGGTGGCGATGCGCCGAGAGTATATTGAGCTGGTCTCTTTGTTTATAAGGTCTCGGGTCATATTTATACCCAAAACACATATTATGTCCTTGTCGGACACGACTCTACTTCTATTACAACTCTAAAACACGAACAAGTCCCTTAGGCGGATTCTTACCGAAAATATCTATAAGGAAACTACTAGAATATCCTAATTAATAGATATAATTGCCTTCTTCGGACTCAATTCATACTTGGCAATACTTATGCAGCACCTCAATCGATCCCGACAATGACTCTAGAATCATTTTGGCGAAATCGGCTACATCGGCTTCTCCTCATTCAATTCGGTATTAGCCGATGCAGACGGTAGCCGATACAGTCCCTAGCCGACGTGTACTCTGTTTCCGAGAATAACGAACTCTTTCCAAATCTGCTTTGGCTTTGATTCCAAATCCAATCTATGATTTACCAAATTTGGTCGTTAACAGCTACGTACTTCGCATCTCTATCTTTTTTTTAAATCCAATCTATCTTTTTAATTAACCGAAAGGTAGAGGAGCTCTATCATAGACGTACCAATATTATGGCACTGTTCTTTTTATTCAGGATTTTAGTTTTTTGTTTTACATGCTTGTCAAGCTCTTAAATGGTGTGTTTCGTATAAAACATTTCCATATTACATTTTAACGAATAATTTTGTAAAGCAAGTTTTTAAGTTTATACATACATAAAGAAGTAAATGTATACCCTCAAAATAACTATATATAAAAAAACTATCCATCAATCCATCAGTTTCAGCTATATCTCAAACGGGGCTAGTATTAGCTATATTAATTGTTATCATCAAATGCATGCATGCTCATGAATTTACACGGCTGTAATTCACAAGATGTACAGAAACATGGGCTTGCTATTTCAATTGCTATAGCCTTTGATCGCAATTTGTATTCAGTAATTAATTTGTTCAAAATCTATGGATAAATAGACCGACATGTAGAGATCATGGGAGATGAGAGGTGGCCTAATAATAGAGAGGTATATAGATGAGACATAACATGAACTTGTTGGTCTTACTGAATGCGCATATATATATATATATATATCCTTATAATAAATAAAATAAGAACAACCATGTATGCATGGAGAAAGTGTTTCATTTAACGTAAATAAAAAGAAAGAAATAAAAATGAGCAGGCATAAATCAAATGCACATCAATCGGCTGCATGTACAACTAGAGCGCGCATGGTTATATAAAATGCGAAAACAACACATGAAAATAACAAATATATACGTATATATATATGCTAGGTCGATGTTGAATTAATTGTTGGGGGATGGCGCAGGTGCTGGCCCATCAGAGGCGGAGGCAGGGGCGGGGGCGGGGGCGGAGTCGGAGTCGGAGGGAACGACCAATCTCATGTCGGCGTAGACGACGCGGCCTTCAGCTTCAGAGCCGCCCTTCTTCAAGCCACCGGCATGGGCGTTCTTGGCGTTAGCAGTGGTGGCGACGAGGAGAAGCCCCACCAGCACCAGGGCCAGGCTCACCATTGCCATCCGCATCTTCTTCATCTTGTGTTGCTGATCGATTTGCTTGCGCTTCGACCCTTTTTTCTCTCCAATAAGCTATCTAGCTTGTCTCCTCGTCGATCCTCTTCTCTGATCGATTTATATATTGGCATACATGGACCTAGCCACCGCCCAAAAATGGGTGGTACAAATTAAGTCAGCCCCCTTGATTATTTGCAAAAAAGTAGGCACATTCTCTGGTTCTACTTCCTAAATTTGGACGTCGCATGCATATGCTCTCCGAAACTTCGAACAAGTATCGTGCCATGTGTACAACAGTTATGCAACAAGTCTCATGGGTAAAATGCATATTAATAAGCAGGTTTCCCCTTTTTCCAAAGGCTATGTGCTCGCGTGTTGAAATGGGAAACCATAATTATTTTTCTTGGAAATCATATATTTTGTATCTGTAATAATGAAGATGGAGCTATGCATCAGAGCTAGCTTGGTGAATTGTGTTATAAAAGTTAGTCGATATAGCGGAACGACGACTAACCTTCCCGATCGCTTCAGTCATTGATCACCCAAGACACGCTAGATGACGACACAGGAAAACACGATATTTGTTAACGAGGTTCAGCCGAAGCCTACATCCCCGAGGCTCTGATTATGGGCGCTCCCCCCACCAATATAGCTTCTAGCTGCTACGAGTCCATGGCCTCGCCGCCATCCTCTTCCTGCGTGTCTACGCTATATTGTAGTCGTTATGGTTATATTTTGGTGCCCTCCTCTCTATTTAAGAGAGATGCCGGGTTACAGAGTTCGACTCTAACTCCACCCCCTAATACTTATTACAACTCCAACTCCAATCGTAACCAAATAGAACTAGTATATTCGACACCTATTCTAACAAACTCCAGATTACTATGCCGATCCACCGGTCCTCCAGACTTGGGTTGTCTTCTTTGCAGCTTCACCACGAGCCACCTGACAAGCCTACACCAGACTCACCGTCATCAAGAGACTTCATTATCACTGTAATTTTCTTCCTTTGGACTCCACCCGTAATAGTGCTCCACCTTCTCACCTATCATCCCAGTAGTTTTGCCATCACATCATAGACTCCCGAAGACCATGTTCACCTCCATCTTCTATCTTTAATTTGATTTGATCTAATACATGGCTAGATAATCGATGTCATCACCAAATAGATAAATCAAACTCACCAGACATGAAGAAAACCCTTTCTTCCTTGTTTTTTTTGACCGGAAATACTGCCAGGGCTTTGCCCAATAGTGTAATTTTATAAGGAAAGAGAAAATTTACAAGGTTACAGAGTTACATGCGGGTCACACAGGAAGACTATAAGGTTTGTAACCAATTAAAAACAGTTTGCTTTAAAGGATCTTTCATTCTGCACATAAGCAGAAGAACTTCTTTGACAAAAAAAAGATCTCCATGCTTGGAAGGAGGGTTGAACATTCTGAAATATTAAGCTTTTCCTTTGCTTCCAGATGTGCCAAGCTGCCAAAAAGAAAATTTCTAGGAAACCCCTCTGAGCAAACTTGAGTCTTGCTAGGGTGATCATTTGGAAAAACTCCAAATCATGATTCCACTCAATTCCCAGGTATTGCCAACACCTGATACTGAATGGACATGAGGAGAAGGGATGTAGCCTTGTCTCTCTGCAATTCGCATTGCACAAAACACATGTGAGATCATCATTTTCTTTGGCACAATGTCTTCTATCCAACATATCTCTTGTACTGAGCCTATCACAGAACATGAGCTAGGCAAAACCTTTGATCTTCATGACACATTTTATTTTCCATAACCAAATCATGGGCCTGGGGTGTTGCAATGCAGAATAGTTTAGCTTATAAAATTTCTTAGCTGTGTACTTATCTGAACCCCAGATAAAATTCCAAGCATCTCCCATCCCTGACTGTAAATTCAAACTGTCCAGAACTTCCTGAAGTTGCAAATATTCAGAATATGCCTCATCTGAGAGGGGTAGGGCAAAAGAATCTTCTAAGGGTCTTGAACACATGGCCTTGACTAAATCAGATCTATAAATGGTCACAGCAAAGAGATTGGGGTAGCTGGTGCATTTAAAATCATCATTCCATAGATCATTCCAGAAAATGGTAGTTCTTCCTATCCTGATTTCGCATTTTGCTATCCCCCTGAAGATGTCTGCAAGAGATGTGATGTCCCTCCACCAAAAAGAACCCTTATTCATCATCAAGTGTGGAACTTTAGAATCATAATATGATTGTGAGATCAATTTCACCCAAGGTAGATCAACACCAATATATAACTTGACCATATGTTTTAGAAGGAGGGCTGTGTTTTGAACTCTCAGATTGATCACTTCTAAGCCTCCTTTCTCCTTAGGGATGCACACCCTATCCGAGGAGGCTAGAGATTTCCTTGTAGAAGAAGGGTTATTCCCTCTCTACAGACAATTCTTACAAGCTGTGTCAATGGCCTTGATGACTGTAACTGGTAGCTGCAATGAGGACATGTAGTAGGTTGGGATAGAAGGCATGACTGAGTTGATCAAAGTCAATCTTCCTCCTTGAGGAAGAAAAATAGAGCTTGCTGTCAGCCTCCTTTCTACTATGTCTACCAACGGTGCAAAGTCTACCACTCTAGGCCTGGTGGTGCCCAAAGGTAGCCCCAAATAAGTGAAAGGAAGAGAACCAATCTTACACCCCAAAATGCCAGCTAGCAAATCAGCTTTGTCCTGAGACATATTAAGTGGGTACAGATTTGATTTATTAAAGTTTACCTTGAGGCCTGTGGATTGAGCAAACATATTCAAAATAGTCTTGAAACAGAAGACTTCTTTCTTAGATGCTTTTAGCAAGATCAATGTGTCATTAGCATGCTGTATGATTGGGAAACCCTCCCCACTGCTTTCATTAATTGGATTTGACAGAAGGCCTTGATGGAAAGCTTTGTTGATTATTCTTTGTAACAACTCTGCACCCAACACAAAAAGCAGAGGTGAGAGAGGATCTCCTTGTCTGACCTCTCTCTTGCATTTAAAAGAATTCCCTGGCACCCCATTCAATAGCAAGCAGTAGAGAAAACCATTTGTACCCACTCAATCCATTTTAGAGGAAAACCCATATGTTGCAGAACGGAGAGAATTGCGGAATGCTCAATGGTATCAAAGGCTTTTTCAAAGTCTAACTTCAAGAGGACAATTTCTCTTTTTGACTGCTGACACTGGTGAATATATTCAAAAGACCAGGCAAGACAATCCTGTATGGTTTTTCCTTTGATGAAACCATATTGATTATTACTCACCAGTTTGAGAATTACCCCTTGAAGTATGTCATCTAGTAATTTGGTTAAGATTTTCAGACTTATACCCATAAGGGAAATAGGTCTGAAATCATTAACAGTCTCTGGGAGGTTTTCTTTGGAACCAGGGTTATGAAAGAGCTATTAAGGATTTCCAAAACAACATTTCCAGCATGAAAATGAGCTGCCAATCTGTAATAGTCCTGAGCTATAATATGCCAACATTTTTTTCATGAAATAGCCATTGAAACCATCTGGTCCTGGTGCTTTGTCAGCTGAAATAATGGAGATGAGACTATCTATTTCCTGAGTGGAAAACATGTCAACCAAGCTGCTCAAATTTATATGTCTGTCAAAAAGAGACTCCAGGTCAAAAGCCATATGTGGGGAATTAGAAACACCCATCTTGTTCTTAAAACTGTGATGAAACAGGGAAACTTTCTGCTCATGAAGATGTATAATCTGTCCATCATGATCTAGCACTTGTGAGACAGTGTTGATTATGAACCTTTCAGTGGCTAATAACTAGAAGAATTTTGTATTCTCCTCCCCCAACATCATCCATCTATTGGTGCACCTTTTTTCCAATAGATCTTCCTAAATTCCAATAATTTCAAAATATGTACCTTAACTGTTTCTCTGAAATTCCACTCATAGACTGAAAGCATTCTGTTTTCTTCGACTAAATCCAGAAAATCCACCACTTTGTTACAGTTTTTTAGAAGTCCCATCAACTTAGATTCTTACTCCAGGCAAGGAGCTTTTACTTGAGCACTTTCAATTTGAAAGAAATGCACTTGGCATGATCATCAAAACTAGGATCTAAAGACCAAACTGCCTAAACAATATCAAAAAACCCATCCATCTCTACCCAATAAATTTCAAATATGAAAATAGGGGATTTGGGGATTTTTGTGTCAATCTTAACTACACATGGCACATGATCAGAGATGTTTCTGGTTAGAGGCAGCACTAATGTATTTGGATAGTCCATTGTCCATGAGGCTGATGTGAATGCCCAGTCCAATCTCTCAAGAAGTGGATATGATGCATATTGCTCTAGGTGAATTTTCTGCCTTTAAGAGGGATTTCCAGAAGGCCAAGAGTGCTAATGATATCATTGAAGATGAAAATGTCATTCATATCTGCCCCATCTTTATTTCTATCTTGCACAGATATATAAAAATTGAAAACACCCAAGAAAAGCCAATTTTGCTGATAAGCAATTTGGACATTTCTGAATCAAGAAACAAAATTTGCTGTTTTAGGGCCACTACAAGGGCCATAGACACATGCCAGGGTCCAATTCTGGGCAGAGTGCCTTGAGATGAAGTCAATGGTGACTGAAAAGAGGTTAACCTCTACCACTGTGCCCACAAAAACTCGAGACGACCAAACAATCAGGATACCTCCTGAAGCTCCATTGGAAGGAGCAAAAGCAAAACTATCTAGATTCTTTGGAGCAAATTTCCTGATATCAGATAAATCAAAGTGGTCTTTTTTAGTTTCCTGAATACAACAGACCTGACAACCACTATCCTCAATCTTCTGCCTCAAGGAGAGTAACTTGGATTCGGCATTCATCCCTCGAATATTCCAACAGAGCACATTCCAAAATTTAAAATTATTCATGATAAACTGGATAAAGGAGACTGAAATAAATAGAACTAGCACAACCAGTCTGTAATAAAGGAGCATCCCAAGTATTCAAAATTTACATAATTGAAACATTTAACTGATAAGACACAAATGTTTTTGCCTAAGTACAGACCATTACATGATGGATAAAAATCTGATTAAGGTCTGCAG